CAAAATACGGTCAAAGAAAGGGTGGTGAATAGTATAAAAGTCAAAGCAGGTCAAGTAAAAAAAGAACGGAGGTAGTAGATGTCTAATATGTTACTATGTGTGTGACTGTGTGTGTTGGCAAAGGCCCATGAGCCTTAGTAGGATTAAGCCTTGAAAAGAAAGCCCAATAATAAAGGTTTGAAGTTATGGGCCTACTGGCCCAAAAGGAAAAAGCTTGTGTCAGGGCTGGAAATTCTATCTGAGTCCAATTGCATCCTTAACATTATCTTGACAGATTTTGGAATAATTTCCGAGCTCTACAATTTGTGGTGGTTATTCATAGATTAAATAGTTAATGTTGATCCATTAAAAAAGTTTGTTATTCATAGATTAAATAGTTAATGTTGATCCATTAAAAAAGTTTGTTTACATTGTTGATTATTTACATAATCAGTGATGCACTAAAATGAAGGCTGTATATCTTTTCATTTGAGTGATACAAAGAAATTGGTCATTGTAAATTTTATCCGTTATTTGAGTTTGCCACATTTCACAAGTTTTTGTGTACGTTTTTATATTATTGCAAACTTTAAACCATTCATACACAACTTTTCTTTCATACAATAATATTTGGAGCTCATTAAACATGACTAGATACATGTATAAAGTATACATATGGAGTATTTGAAGCCTAGCCAAGCTCACTAATTTAGCTCGCTTGAATTTCTCGTGTTAAAGTGAAGGAATGATGAGAAATAGAGTTATAAAACCAGTTTCATATGTACGTAAAATTATTAACTTTCTGCATTAAGCCCTTTTCTTTTCTTTCCTTTTCCTTTTCCTTTTCCTTTTGTAACGGTTCTAGATGAAGTAACTAGATCAATTCAAAATGAGGTTCCATAGTATATGTTATTTGCGGATGATATCATTTTGGTGGATGAAACTAAAGATGGGGTTAATGCCAAGTTGGAGCAATGGAGGCAAGGTTGGAATCTAGAGGGTTTAAGCTAAGTCGGAGTAAGGCTGAATATTTGATATGTCGCTTTGGTACTCAAAGGGGGACAAGAGATGAAGTGGTGAGTTTGGATGGAAAGGAATTGACCCATGAGTAAATGTTTTAAATATCTTGGGTCGATCATCCAGAAAAATGGTGACATTAATTAAGACGTGGCCCACAGGATTAAGTCGGGATGGCTTAAATGGAGAGCAGCCATGGAGTATTATGTGACCGAAGCATTCCTTTACAATTGAAGAGAAAATTCTATAGGACTGCCATAAGACCAGTGTTGCTTTATGGTACAGAATGTTGGGCTTCTAAGAAGGAGCACATTAAAAAGATGGAGGTTACAAAAATGCGCATGTTAAGGTGGATGTGCGAGAACACTCTAAGAGATAGAATTAGAAATGAGGTTATTAACAAGAAAGTAGGTATGGCAGGCATTGCAGACAAACTAAGGGAAAATCGTCTGCGTTGGTTTGGGCATGTAAGACGGGGACCCGAGGGTACACCGGTTCGAAGAGTGTAAGAGTGAGACCATAAAGGGGTTAAACGAGGGAGACCGAAAATGACTTGGTTGAAAGGAGCTAGGAAGGATATGAAGTATATGAATTTGCATGAGGATGAAGCATTGGATCATAAGAGATGGAGGATGAAGATTTTTGTGGATAACTACACAGAATAATCAAATTTGATTCATGTAGCCGACTCCACTTATGAAATTAAGGCTTTGATTGATTGATTGATCTCACGACACGATGTTATTTTGTCATAGAGAATATTAACCTCTTTCTTTGACCAATAGAAAGCGAAACTACGTTATAATACTAGAACCTACAACCACATGAGTCAAGAATCAAGCAAAATGGTATACCACAAACTTCTCCATGGTTGAGAATCAAATAAATTTGAAAAAGATCCGATGAATAAAACAACTTTGAAGCATAACACATTCTCTCTGTTTAATAAAGCATCAATAATGTACATTAAATATTACTAAACAAGTTTGTGCAAACATTAAATCATTCCAAATTATCCATAAAATCATAGATGAGTAACATAAATCAAGCTTAGAGTCAGTTCTAAGAAATCATCTACTAATCATCGATTAATCTTAATCAATACAAATAATTGTTGGATCACAGCAACACTCATCCAGCAGGCAACAACAACATAGAGCTGCAAGGCTGCAAAATCAAAGATTAAACCATTAATTAATATTACCATTAACTAAAAATAATTATATCATAAGATTCATGACTATTATAATTGATTGAAATTAATTAAACTTACCATCCTTCCAGGAAACCTCGTTCTTTTCGAGGGGGCGGTGGTGGTGGTGGAGCTGCGTATTGATATTGAGGAGGTGCCATTACCGGAGGACCTTGATAATAGCCTATTTCAATTTTGGAAAAAAAAAAAAAAAAAAAAAAATTAGTCTAATACTCATAAATTTTATTTTATTTTATTTTTTTTTTTTAAAAAAAAAAAAAAAAAAAAAAAAAAAAAAAAAAAAAACTAGTAAGGACTCATCACTATTCTAGAAAATTGTTTTCCTTATACTTTTACAGGCCAAAACTAATTGTCATATCGATAGTTTGATATATATGTGGGTAGATTATATGAAAACTAAAATTTGGACCGACGTCTAATGGTACTGAAAGATCACTAATACATAGTAGACAAAAATAACAAAAGTGATTATAATCATCAACCAAATTAATCACAATCATAGGAAAAGAGATTTAGTTGAAAAAATGGAATAAAATCAAGCTGATTACCTTGAGAAGGATAGGGATAAGCATACTTGGGATCACTCATATTTGTTGTTGAACGTTAAAAAGACCAAAATAGTAGAGTATATGATTTATGAAGTTATAAAAATTAATGAAGGGATAAAATTTTGGAAAATACAGGGAATTGTTTGAAGAGTTAAGGCTTTATATACAGTGGAAGTTTGGAAAAGTTGGAAGATAGATAACGCGGTGTTCACGGCAACATACGTCTGGAAGGCTGCTCCTTCATTGCTAAGAATATTAGAGTGGTTTCCTAAAAAGCCCTTTTTTCGTTTATTTAGGTGATGATAAAATATTCCCTTAGTCTTTAAGAAAAGTATAATGGCTTATGTCAAAATAATGGCCCGTAATATTTCTGTTCCGAGTCTTGGATTTCCTACGTGGGGAATATAGACAGTAGTCGTCTTCTAATGTGATTTAGCACTTTGTTAATTATGTTTTATTTGTTGTTGTGTTGGCTTGTTACTTATTGCTTTAGTATGACTTGTTAGCCTTTTTCAAATTATAATTGTAATTATTTAGAGATAAGGAATGCCGAGAAAAAAATAAAAAAAAAAAAGAGAGGAAGAAATGAAGAAAAAATTTGCTACCACAAGGCACGTGAAGGTGCTAGAAATTGAGCGTTACATTAAATTGAATTTATGAATTTAAAAGCATACATTTTCAAACTTAATAATTGTTCATATATGTAGTTTGTTGAAAGTCATAGCATCCTATGAATCCTTTGTTCCCACTATTAATTTGAGAAAAGGACTAGATTCTTCTGGAATTTATTCTTGCTGTCATCTAAAGACTAAAGCTCCGAGGGAATAAAGACTTTTTTTTAGTTTATATTTTATTTATTTATTAATTTATGAGAGCTTGTGATTCTGCCTTGTTAATCCTCTAACTTTATGGTAGTTTGAAGCTATTATTTAATGGTTTTTTTTTTTTTTTTTAAGAAGGAAAGATACCCAAAGTTAGGCTCAAGACTATAACTCAACCTATCTGAAGTAATAAAAAAGGAAAATTTACTATCTAAAAAAGGATCAATATCCTGGTGCGTTTGCATGAAATGCCCTAAAGAAGCAACATAATCTGCTGCTCTATTGCCCTCTCTATAGATATGTCTGGACTCGACGAAAGAGAAAAGACGAAGGAGCTCCCTAATATCTTCCAGCAGTACCTGATCTTCCACGGGCACTGAATTTTACCCTGCAAGATATTAATTATAAGTAAGTTATCCCCTACAATAAAAATATGAGAGAAACTGTGAGACCAGGCAAGAAGAAAACCATTGCGAAGGGTTGTAGCCTCAACAATAAGAGGCGTACTTGTGCCAATATTATAAGACCGACTACAAATATGATTACCCTTTTTTAATGGTTTGTGTGTGAATTGGCTACATAATTAAAGTTTGGGTCAAGTACATGTAGCATCACAAGATTGGAGATATAAGAAAGGTGGCAAATCTCAAATAAAATTAGGAGGGATTTATTTTATTTTATTTTTGTTTAAAGAGCCACAAGATCGGGTGATGAGATTCGATCCCAAGATCTACTGAAATCGAGAAGGAAGCTCTAACCACTTGAACTATCCCTCACTCACATGAGGGATTATCTAAATGCACATAAAATTAGATTCGTCTACATATCTCAAATATGGATATGTGTCAATCAATTACATACTACTAAAAACGAATAAAAAAGACACTTGTCAATATTGCATTAAAAATTTTCCCTCCAAAAAAATTGTATCTAAATTATGACGTTTGTTTTATATAAAATATAATTCCTTTCCAAAAATATTAAACGGTCCATTATAACTGTTAGTCTGTTACATATAATTTAAATATTGTCTCTTGCTTCTTTTTATTTTTAATATACACCATATTTTTAATACTCAATTCATTCTATTTATATAATTTTTATAATATTATTTTCAAAAGTATTTAACAACCGTGCATTGAACGGAATTTAACCTAGTTTATAATTATTAAGCTTTATGCGAAAAGTTGTGTTTTGTGTAGAAATGACATGTATATAACACATTTAATGACTACCAAGAAATAAAAATTATTACAAGATAGTCGTCACAACAACAAAAGGACTTTGTTATTTTAAGCTATTACGTATGATTTGTTAGATGAATTGCTGACAATTCATATTCAATTCTTTTATCCTCATGACTTGAAAGGTTTGAAGTTTTTAACATCATTCACCCTTCTTATTTCTCACCTGCTAATCGTTGGGGTTTTCTAACTTTATTAAGAGGACAGCAAAAGCTTCATGACAAAATCACAACTTTGACTCGTATTCAGTGGTAATCTATAACTAAACAAGAAAAATAGTCTTTTGGAGTGTTGCGAGTCTTTTAAAGTGTTACATATGTACCAAGTATAAAGCAAAATCATTCATATAACTTTGCATCGAGGTGTCAAACTTGTAATCGAATGGCACATCAGATTTGTTCCATGAAATATTGAAAGATTTAGGGTTTTTAGATTGAATTTTACTGAAATGAGCTTCTTCAACCTATGCTGAAACCTGAGAGGAGAGAGAAACAGAGCAAATATCTCAACTCTCAAATGAGCTTCTTCAATTGCGACATTTCTGTACTAAACAGAAAAATCAAAGCTCTAATTGTAAGTCTCCTTTCATTTCTAACTACTGATTTTTGTAAGAAATTACATTTAAAATTATGTTTTTAACTTTGTGTATTTGAATTCAGCGTATATTAGCTATGCTTTCTACTTTCTTGCTTCAAAATTTCATGCTGAAAGAGTGAAAGTTCAATTCTTTGTTCCAAATTCTAATTCATTCATCTATGATCTATTGATCTGCATTGTGGTATACTGGTGTTTAGTCAGATACAAGTTTTATAATCATCAGTGGAAAAATTATGTTAAAACTGGCTTCTGTCCGGAATTAATAGTCGCATTAATAGTGTAATTTGAACTAATTACGTACTTATGTGAGCATGAGTGTGACCGTGACAGGATGGAGATTGTTTATGTTTGTGTCCTAGTTGTGAATATAATTTGCAAAATCCATGTGTAAATGTGGGTATTCTTTTGCTCACTTGATCAATTTTTGCTTATTTGAAGTGCTCAAATGTGCACAAAATTACCTTGGGTTTGCCTAGCTCTTGGGTACACAATGGAGCCATGGAGGTTTCTAATGGTAATTCTAGCATTCCAATCATTCAAATACACAATTTGCCCATTTGTGAAAGTATACTGCCCGTTTGGGGGCAGGGCGGGGGGAGTGGGAGGTTATAATTGTATACTAGTGCTGTTGAATTGTAGGATTTTCTGTGGGAAGATGTTTATGGGAGGGGAGAAATAGGGTGAGTTGATTGATGATGATTGATGATCACTTACATAGCAATTGTATTGGTAGCAAATGACCATCTAGTGATATCTTCGATATTGGCAATGGGTGTTGACTGTTGTCTTATAGTTGATGATAAAATATGATACACCTAATTTGAATGATTTTTAGATGCATCAACCCAAATTTTAAAAATTAATAGTCAGTTGGAGATATTTGGCCGAATAGTGAAGTCATGTGATATATGTGGGATTTGGGGGTTTGATATGATAAGCAGCTCCCCAGGGATCTCTGCTACTGGTTGATGACCAGATTAGATCCTCTGAACTGACAAATCATAGATCCTAACGGGATGGAATTTCCAATTCATGCACTGCAGGTATGGACACATTCTAGAGAAATTGTTGTTGAGAGGATGTACCTAGGAAAATCCATTCTTCTGACATTGCTGTAAAAATTAATGATCTTAAGTCTGAATATGGGACTCCTTAGCAGATAGGACATAGGAGGTTAAAGCAGGCTATTTCTTGATCTAACTTGGGTGAGGATGATGGAAAGGAGTTCAAGACTCGGATCTTGATGTTAATGTTAGATATTATACTGTGTCCAGCAACATGTGGCCAGCTAGCAAAAGATTTGTTACCAGCTTCAGGCCTCACAAAACAAACTACCCATGCACCATAATTCACCCTCACACTGGACTCCTGGGTGCAGGGTATTCATTTTCTGAGTTTGAGGCTTCTTATGAAACAAGCATGGGAAAGTAATGGTGGGATAATTATGGTGCTTGGATTGTTTCACTTGTTTGTTTTGGTAGGTGGGAGAATTGTTTGCAAGCTTGTGTTTATAATATTTAATATGAACGGTAGGGAATAACTAAGTGTAGTAGTTTTCAATGTGTCAACAAAGGTGTGATAAACTAATGAAAGATTCTAACACCTTAATGGAACCATGGGATACCCAGACACCAATTGGAATTATTTCTTGTGCTCTTTACTATCACTACAACATAATTCCGAAACAGTCTGAACATTAAACCAAACTCGTTTTCAAGGTTTTAGAGACATATTGTTAGGTCTTTATAGTTCCAAACCAACTTTTATGCCCTCGGGAGACATCTCTCTCATCCACTTTAATTTTGGAAATTTTCTCAAAATTCACCAAAAATCGTGGATTAACCTTCAATTTTAGAAAATTTTAAACTTTTTTAAACTTGAAAAAGGTAAAGGACAGGGTGCTTATCATGAAACCTGTGAGACCCCGGGAGGCCACTTGAGTAGTTAGAATCATCCACTTGCCTCATAATGGTCAATTTAGTCGGTTATAGATGCGTGTTCTGCCATTGGGTCTAGGCCACCCATGGGCTTTTATGAAACAACCAAAATCAACAAAGGTGTGATAAACCAATGAAAGATTCTTGACACATTAGTTGAACCATGACTTGCCCAGTCACCAATTGGAATTAGTTCTTGTAGCTCTTTACTACGAAAATCCAAAATAGTCAAAACGTTGAACCAAACTCATTTGTAGGGTTTTAGAGACATATTTTTAGGTCTTTTATGATTTCAAACCAACTTTTAAAACCTCGGGAGACATCCTTCTCATCCACCTTAATTATGGAAAAAAATTCGAAATTCATCCAAAATCGTGGATTATAGCCTTCAATTAAAAAAAAAAAAAAAAAAAAAAAAAAACTTGAAAAAGATAAAGGACAAAGTGCTTTATATGGACCCTATGAAACCCCCGCAAGCCACTTTGGTATTTGCCTCTTAATGGTTAATTTAATTGGTTACAAACACGCGTTTGGTCATTGGGTTTAGGCCACCCCCTGGATTTTATGAAACAACTAGCATCAACAAAGTTTTGATAAATAAATGAAATAATCTTGACACCTTATGGAACCAAGGGATGCCCAGTCACCAATTGGAACCGTATTTTTTTAGCTCTTGACTACCAATACAACAAAAATCCGAAATTATCACAACATTGAATCAAACTCTTTTTTATAGATCTTAAAGACATTGTTAGGCCTTTTATGGTTCCAAATTTTTTTTTTATGACCTCGGAAAACATCTCTTGGAAAAATTTCTCGAAATTTATCCAAAATCGTGGACCCTATGAGACCCCAGGAAGCCACTTGAGTTGTTAGAATCATCAACTTTGCCATCCTTGGACTTGATGAGATCGATTATTGGCTTATATGGCTTTAAACAATCTTTTTTTTATTTCGAGTAACATCTCCCACCATTACTTGAGTTTTTGGCACCGGATCTTGGAGATAATCCAATTTCGTGTGTTAAAATCTTCCATTTAGCATCCAAAGAACATTTTTGGACTGGTTAAGCGTCAAGGTGTTTTCCAAACTTCTCAAGGAACTCTTAGAGCCCTATTTGGTGGCTGGAACTACCTAAATCATGCTTTGGCTCATGACTTTGTTGTTTGCTCCTCTCATAATGTCTTAAGTTGTCTAAGCCTTGTTTTATCTTTCCAAAAATGTCTCTCAAACATGTGAAAACAATACCCTCTATGGCCACATACAGGTAGTATTAGGGATGAAGTGTTTGTATGCCTTGTCCTTGGCTCTCTTTTGCCTTAACCTGCTGCGCATGCCTAGTGCCTTAGCTAGGCAAATTGTTTTATGGCGATTTATCTTGGGTGCTTATTGTGCATCCATTTAAAAATATTCATCTGTTTTTGTGAACAATATATCTATTATAAAGTGCATGAGTTGAATTTTTTAACAGTGATCTGAATTTCTAAATAATAATCACAAAACCCTTTTCAACTCAATGATGACCAATTACTTTTCCGAAAATCAATGTTGAGTTAGATTTGAAGGACCTTTATGTCAGAGTTTTGTTCAAATGCTCTAAGTGATAAATGTATATATTAGTTTCCAAATTAGCTTCAATGGGTATTCTTCACATTGTATTCATCACGCTTTATAGTTATTGCTACTAGAGTGATCTGATCACTACGGATATATTAAAAGTCCATTCTGATCGACGATGGGATACAATCATGGTAGCTCATGTAACTCTTGACTACCACTTCAACAAAATTCCAAAAAAGTCACAACATTGAACCTAACTCATTTTCTAGACTTTAGAGACATATTGGTAGGTTTGTTATGGTTCCAAATCAACTATTATGATCCCGGGAGACGACCCCGACATTCACTTTAATTTTGAAAAAATTCCCAAAATTAAGCCAAAATCGTGGGTTATAGCCTTTAATTTTAGAAAAAATTTAACTTTGCTAGACCTGAAAATGATATAAGATGAGGTGCTTTCATGGACCCCATGTGACCCCGGGAGGCCACTTAGGTGGCTAGAAGCATCCACATTGGGTTTTAACATTCAATTTAGTTCGTTACTGATATGATCTAACATTGAGTTTAGGCCCTTGTGAGACCAACTAGTGGGTGTATATGGTTCTAATCAACATTATATGATCTCAGGAAATATCCTCATTGTAACTTAGTTTTTGGCACCGGATCCCGAAAATGGTTTGATTTTGTGTATTATAGCCTTCAATTTAGCATCTAAAGAACATTTTTGCACCCAACTAGGTTAGGCATCAAGGGGTTTTCCATACTTCTCAAGGGACCCCAAGCTGCGGGTTGAATCCTTTGCTGACTACTTAACTACGCGATGGGGTGGCTAAGCGGCCTTGCTGCCACAATCCACTGAGATTCACCCCTATGTCACTTTAATTTGTCCTTCCCCCCACCCTACTCCATGGAAGCACCTATATTTTGCTAAATGAGGTTAGCGAGGTTAGCTAAGTGTGGGATTAGGACAAGGCACGACGCCTAAGTGTTGGGGATGTTGGATGGTGCAAGGGGGCGTGTGGGCATGGGCACACGACATGTGCACCCAAGGACAAGGAATACAAACAACTATTTTTGGCATTTGAGGGTATGCCGTCTTTGCCTTTAGACATCATGATTAAGGATGGAAAAGACATGAATGAGATAGTTTCGGGCACTAAGTAGGACTCTCAAAGCCCTTTGGTAAAATGATCTACGGAAGCCAAAATTAAAGGTTAATTAATACACGAAATAGAAGCAATTTAGGAGGTTTTGGGGGCTAGTGTCAAAAAGTCATGGAATAATATGGGATGCATTCCAGGGTCATATAATGTTGTTTAGACCCATATACGGCCATTAGTTGGTTACATAATGGCCCCATGAGAGCCTATACACAATACAAGAGGGTGTGCAAAAACAACCATATTGACTGTTTAAAGGCAAAGTGGATGGTTCCACCCACTCAAATGGACTCTCAGAGTGTATTGGGTCTATGGGAAACATCTTAGCAAAAATTTTTTCTGGTTCCAAAATTGAAGGCTATAATCCACGCTTTTGGACCAATTTCGAATGTTTCGGGACCCGGTGTCGAAAAATCTCAGGATATTAGGGGACACATCTCGGGGTCATATAATGTCGTTTGGAACCATATATGATCATTATTTGTTGTCATAAATGTCCGTGGTGGCCTTGAGTTCATGAAGTAGGCTTAAGTTATAAATGGGTAAATTGATAGTTTAAAGGAAAATTAGATGGTCCTACCCACCCAAATGGACTCCCGGGATGTATTGGGGTCCATGGGAAGCATCTCGGCAATTTTTTTTTCGGGTCCAAAAAAATCCAAAATTGAAGGCTATACACGATTTCGAGCAATTTTGGAAATTTTTTCCAAAAATGAACTGAATGCATGGGGTGACCCCTAGGATCATATAAGTTGGTTTGGAACCATAAGACACCTGTAAAGATGTCTATAAAGTCCCAAAAGTGAGTCAGTTATGTTGCTATTTTGAAATTATGTTGCATTATTATTGGTAGTAAAAGAGTTGATTCCAATAATAACCAATATGGAGTTCTTCATCTTCTTTTGTATTGTTGGTTATTCATGCTTTGGCTCCTGATTTTTTAGTTTCCACCTCTCATAATTTTGTCTAAAGTTGCCTGCCTAGTTCATGCCTTGCCATGTCTTGGCTTTCTGAATATGTCTCTCAGACAAGTCAAGACAATACCCTCTATGGCCATGTATAGGTAGTTTTTAAGGATGAGGTGTTTTTATGCCTTGTCTTTGGCTTATGCCTTGTGCCACAACCTGCTGGGCTGCTGCCCATAGGCCCCATACCTTGTGCCTTGGCCTGCTGACTATGGGGTTGTTTGGAATCGGCGGTTAGCTGTGGGCGGTTGGCTTGTTTGCTTGACTTGTTTGACTAGCCGGAAATATTAGCCGTATGGATTGGCTTTTTAAGTTAGTTGTTTAAGACTTTAAGTCAGCTGTTTACAAAAGTGTTTGGTAAAATTATTGGTGGTTGTTAGCTATTTATTAGTGATAAAGTGGGCCAACAAGCCAAAAGCCAATAGAAAAAGCTACTCCTATTAGCTTTTGGCTTTTGGCGGAAAAGCCAGCTTAAAAGCCAATAGAAAAGCCAACTACCAAACATATTTTTTGGCTGTTTGACAAAACTAAAAAGCCAAAAGCTAGGCAAAAAGCCAATTGCCAAACACCCCAATACCTCGTGTCTTTGCTAGGTAACAGCACCTTTTCCTAGGCCTTGTGCGTTGGCTGGGTAGCAGTGCCTATGCCTTGACGTCTATGCCTTGGCATTGTGTCTTATTTGGGCAGCAACGCCTATGCTTAGGGCCTTGGCCTGGGCATAAACAGTAGCAGCACCTAATGTAAGTGATTTGCCTTTTAGTTTTACTCGTAGATTTTAAGTAGTTTGTGATGGCTGCACCATCTGTTTGCAGTACGTGCTACATAGTTGAATATATTGTGCGAATAGGCATGTGTTGTTTGTTATTACAAACTTTTATTTTTGGAACTACGTTCCTTTGGTATTTCCACCACAATCACTGCAGATCTTATATATTGTTCAGCTGAATAAAATGCCTATTCATTGGGGAATGGGGACAATGTCCTTTACTCTAGATTTCGACTAATACAGAAATCAACTGTGCCTGTGTGGAGAACAAGGGTGAGGAGGGGGATTACAGGAAATTTTGGGTCAGTAAATTCATTCTTTGCTCTATCTGCATGTGTATTGTGTCCTTTTACTATCTAGTTATGTGTTGCTGCAATGTATCTCTTTGACGTAGCATATGGTGAGCAACATCCTTAGGGTCAAGGGATTCTTCAATAAAGCGTCATCAACGCTTAGCCCTTGAGGTATTGCATTCTTCAGTATCCAAGGATATCAGGTTCCTTTGCTATTGAATGTTAAACTGTTGAAAGGTCTCATTGTGGTTACTAATATTATCGGTCACTTGACTCAGATTGCTCTGCTTATTCATTCATCTATGGCAAGCATTTCCGTCCAGTTTGCCAATTTGGCCTTCTGTATTACTGTCTAGTCTAGCCTGTTAACTCTAACCCAAAAATTCAGCCAATGCGGAAAGCAACATCGTCCAAGAATTCTTAGCAGCAGAGGCAAGAGTAGGCCGCCAAATTCATCATTGTGAATGTGCTTTCTCTGGTGCTAAATCCGTGAAGATTCATTGTATGACGCCCAAGTAGCAGAGATCGATGGTTAAATAACATAATTTAGTGCCTAACTGAGAGTTGGGCTCGTAGTTACCTAATACGCGAGTATTAGATCTCTGTTAACTATATGATTCAGGCCAAAAATAATGGTACATGGGGATTAGAGTAACAGGTGGGCTTGTTAACTACTCGTATAAGAGTTTATTATGGGTTGTTGTTGCATAGCTTATGACTGTTATGAGTTAGTTACTTAGTTAGGAGTGTATATATTGATTGTTTAAGTTGAAAAAAAATTATAGAAAGGGGGAGGTTGTGAAAAACTCCAATTGATTTTGACTCAATTTTAGTTAATGTTATCCTTATATGAGGTATATTCGGATGACGTTTAGAGATGAGTTTTATGATACGAACACAAAACAAAAAAAAAAAAAAAAAAAAAAAAAAAAAAAAAAAAAAAAAAACTAATGTTACACTTGACAGATCTTTATGGTGTATATATGCACTAATTGATGCACCATACTTCACCTCATGCCTTAGCAAATAACTAAATTAGGTGCTTCAATCATTGGATAAAACACTCTTAAAAATTTTGCGCAGATATCTTTATTTCATATTCTAAAGTCATACAGTTGATAGGAAGGTTAGAAGGAAGCAAGAAATATAGTGACAAAAAAAGTGGGTAGCTTAGAATTGAGTTGATGACAAAAGAGTGTTTTCCCATGGAGTATTTGTTGGTTGATCTTTTTCATGTTTGAAGCCTTTTCTTCTCTCTTTCCTATTGTGGTCCATGCTTAATTTTGCCCTTTTCACTTTCCATTTGTCTTTTTTATCTGGATTTATCATACATATTAGTAATTTAACGACAAATGTTATCCGCGTTATCTTCTATTGTCAAACTATTTAACGATGTAATTTATTTTGAGCTTGTTGTCCAAATTATCTAAATTATTAATAGTCCAAACTTGTTTGACTATGAGTGAATTAAACGCTCTCATAGTTAATTTTAATAACATGTTAGTAATAAAATAATAATAATAATAAATAAAACTTAAAAAAAAAAACCGTTTGTGGTCGAACTCTCATTTTCATTGATATGTGCGACCAAAATTATTAGACAATAAATGAATTAAATCACTCTCATAGTTAATTTTTTTTTAATGTAATAGTAATACATGGTACTTTATAGAGTATTATCTTTTTGAAACATACGACCTATAAGAAGATCGACTAATTGATAAAACTAGTTCATCGTAATCAAGAAATCAAGGGTTTAAGCCGTAACCGTAATTCTAATTTTTTTCCAAGTCTCCAAATTGCAAACAAGGTTACATACATAAAAATGTTACAAAATGATTATAAAAACATCATGACATCAAGAAGAAGTTTGAAAGGAGTTGTACAAAGAGACAAGTGTAGAATGCCATTTCTAACACGACTCTTATCACTCTAAATGATCTCATAATCTATCATAGTACACTAATATCTGCAGGACAAATCACCAAATGTGGTCAATTATAATTTTATAACGACATTGACAACGATACAACTTCAATTACATAATTAACCCTCTATCAAATACATCTTGTTCAAACTCCATTAGAAAAACTTGAATTTATAAAATTTGGTACTTGTGATTTGATAATTAACTAAAGTGACCTTTGGTGTTTATGTAGTGTTCTAGTAGCCTTCCTTGTTTCATTAATCAAAGTTACATAGCGACTTAACAATCCTAACTGCATAAAAGATTTCAATTTCAGATAAGTGCAATAGTATTTCATGTAATCATGTACAAAGTACGTATTAAGCAGATAAACTTTAAGCATCATGGTTATATTTTGAAACAGAAATTCAACTTTCAACAAATCACATTTATATCAGATTATCCCGTATAAATTAACTCATATCGTCATGGTCTCATAATCCGGTATATACTTATTCTTTTTCTCTTCCTTTCAATGAGACAACTCCCAAAGTTAGAGAATAGTTCTAATTTCTAAAGCCAAAATCCACTCCAAAAGTTCACAACTTTCCTTTGTTTTTGGATTTCATGTTACACCAAATTGTTGTAACATAACACACTGCTCCACTAAACAAGTAAAATGGAGTAACTGTAGGATGAATGAGTCAACACCAAACCCGTCTTCTACTTCATTCATTGGTAACACGCCTTCTTCTAAGGCTCTAACATGGCCCACTTTCCATTACCAAGTTTGCTTTTTTTTGTTGAAGGGAAAATATCTTATACGATGTCATTATTTTGTTACCTCATTGGTTTTGTGTACACTTCTTCGGTTGTGGAGTCAATTGATTGGAAAATCAAATTAAAAGGATGTTCATGATTTAATCTTATGTTAAATTTAATTAAAAGGATGTTTTCTTCCATTGAATTTGATATAAGAAATATTTTAAATTCAACTTTGTTTACCTAAAAAAAAGGGGGGGGGGTTATGCTAAGTTCATATAATTTTAATTAAAGTTAAAAAAAAAAAAAAAAAAATTAAAGTCAAGTAAGTTTTGTCAACTTCAAATGAGTTTAAATACTATGTAAGTAAAAGACTCAGGTGAATATAATACAAACTTTTTCTTAAAAAAAAAAAATAGAGAGTTAAACAAATAAATACAAATGGAGTTGGATTTCAAATGTAAAAAATGAACCCTCTCCTCTAAAATCACTATTAATATTATTGTAGGAAACTAAATAAATGTTACTCTAACAAATAACTAAATGCACCAACAACTAATAGTAGTACTAAACTACTAATGTACTAGTGATTGGTCAAAAAAACAAATATTCAACTAATTAGGTAAGTGCTAATAGTTGGAGACTCGGTATAATCCGTGACTAATATTTACATTTTCTATCAAAGACCTGTTTTTGATGAATGCTAAGTGATTCAAATAATAAATTGAGGCATATATATTGAATAAAATGTGATCTTAAGACAAAAAAATCACTATTATTTTGTCCTTGAACATTCCATCACAATCGCAATCACCATATGAAAAGTAGAATAGTCTCTTTCTTATATATTGAAATCTCTACGGTTCTAGACTAACATGACTCATATCTATATGACAATTACATGTAACCAACCCCTCTACAAAACAATTATATCTTTACCACACTCCTTCACATATTTATATAAATCACTCCTTAATGATTTTATATCATATTACTTCATCACCATTCCAACAATATATATTTGAACAATAGATATAAGAAATCAAGCTTCTTGTTTGAGTGATTAGATTCTTTGCTTTGATCATATTAATTAACAAGGTTTGTCTATACATTTAAAAAAACAAAGTTTGTCTAACTTGTTTGGCTATGTCAAAAAGAAGAAGAAAAAGAGCTTAATTAAACTAGTGTTAATCAAGATATGGTCTCGAGATGTCTATTTGGAGAATGAAACTATGTTTCTAACACATTTTTAGCCATTGACTGAAGGTCATTTTGGTGCATCTATCTAATCGATTAGTGAATACATGGTTTCATTAACCTTTTACGGACTAAGGATTCATTCCCTACCACTCCATGAGTTTTCGACGTTGGTTCCTAAAATCAATTTGAGCGATTCCCTTAAATTTTACGAGGTCTCGGGAGGCCAATTAGGTGATTGGAAGACTTAAAACCAATTATTGTCTCTTAAATTTTAATTTTCAATATAGGTGGTACAAACATCCCTCCCTCATTGTCTCAAGACTATGGATCTTTATGTGGCCGAATAATAGGTATAAACTTGATCCTAAATATTGTATTATTCGAGTTTACGATGGAATTCCAAAATCTCTTAAATTAGTCCCTTTTTGTGTGATACACAATTTATGCCTTCAATTTGACCTTCTAACATACGAACATTTTCAAACACGTCAAAAAGAGAAATTTAACAAGATACTGCATAGTAATGTTAATTCATTTCCTATATTATTATGATAATTCTTTATCAAAACTTTATAAGATCCAATTTGTAACGAATTTATGAATGTCGGATTAATTTTGGAACAGAAACAAACATCATAATGTTGAAAGCTCGTCCCTTTAATTTGAACATTCAATTTCCTCCAGAAAAGATATCACAAGTCTCACAATCACTAAAATACATTTGGTCATATTATTTCATAAAATGCCTAAATGAGTGAGTAATAAAATGAGTAAAATGAACAATAATTACTGCTAATATAGAGTATCAAATGTCACATTATTACTCAAACAAAAATAAAATAAAAAACACCAAAAAAATAATAAAAAATAATAATAATACATCTATTGGAGTAATATCTCCCATATTTTTTTTCATCATAATAATAATTATTATCTTGAAAAATAAAAAATAAAAATAAAAATCACACATTAGAATTAGACACAACTTTCTGAATTCCCTTATTACCCTCAGCAGGAACACTGGTTAAACCTGGTGGAGCAGTTACCGGTCTCATTTCACCACTCCCATTTACCGGAACTCCCTGAAACGGCGTCGTTACAACTCCCGCACTTCCCGGCGGCGCAGCATAGTACACCTGTCTCCCACTTCCGTTATCGTACGCCACTTGCGTATACCCCTGATTTTCCGCCCCCATACCTGCTACCGGTCTAGCCGGTAACCCCATCCCTTCTGAATACCCTCCTCCCATCTTCCCTGACCCCATGTTGTACACCTGCTGCTCCCGGTAAACCTGATCTGATGGTACTCTTTGCATCTGGTAGTACCCTTGATTTGGTTGTCCGGTTACCGGTCGCATCATCGGCGCGTGGTATACATTCCCTGGTGGTGGCGCGTGAACCATGTATACCGGCTGTTGTTGTGGGTGTTGCTGTTGCTGTTGTTGAGGATGAAACTGCTGGTGTTGTTGGTGTTGTTGCTGCTGTTGTTGGTGATGGAATTGTTGTTGTTGATGGTGCTGAGGTGGCATCGGTTGTTGTTGCGGTGGTTGTTGTTCGACGTTGACCGGTTGAGGAGGGGGCGGAGGTTGCCAGTAACCCGCCGGAATTTGAACAGACGCCGGAATATTCGCCGGAGCAGTTGTAGCATAGTTTACTTCCTCGCTTTTCTGCCGATTCATCTCCTGAACTGAGATCTGCATCCGGTTCATCTCCTGAATCCGGGCTTCAATTTGTGGATCCGGTTCATGCCGTTGTTGAACCGGTGCCGGAATCTGAACCGGGGCTTGAACCGGCACCGGAATTTGCGCTGGGCCTTTATCTAAACCGAATAAGAAATCCATATTACTGTTGACTGCCGTCGGAGGCGGCGGCGATGGACCGGAATTCAAAGCCTCGACGAACCGGTCGGATTCACGGTCGATCTTACCAGGATCCGACGAAGTAGATCCAAACGAACCAGATTTATGAATCGGAAAGAGGAAAATCCTTAATCGAGCCGGTTTAGTTGAACCGCGATAAAGTCGATCGTATTCATGCATCATATTCTCCAAATCGTCGTCGTTTGTGACGGAAATCAAAGCGTCGAGTTCTTCACCAGGAAGCTGGTATTTGAAGATGAAACCACCGGAAACGGCGTCGTTTACGGCGGAATCCGATGCGAGAGTCGAAGAAAGCTTGGAATACAACGACGAGAATTTAATCGATCGATCGACGGCAAGAATTTTGGTTTCGCCGCCGACGTAAGCGAGGAGATTATCGTGAGAACGAGGTTGAATTCTGCCGCCATAACTGACCATGAATTTGACCTTGTGGTTGAGTGAAGATTGCGGCGGTTGCTGCTGCTGCTCCTCCCATGACGGCGGAGGATTCTCGAAGTCGATTTCACGGGAACGAGGAGAAGAATCGCCGGAATCTGGGTAGGAATACGAAGGAAAATTCTCCATTTTTGGGGGGTTTGAAGGAAGAGAGAGAGAATTTTGGGGGTGGTTTTTGAGGAGAGAGAAAATGGGGAAAAGGGGGTTAAGGGAAAGGAAGCATGGTTTGGGAATTGATTGGAAAAGTGTTGAGAGAGAGAGTGTGAAGAAAGAGAGTATGTTTTAATATATGTTGTGCGGCGAGGGAGAGGGGGGACTCTATAGCACAGTTGGATTTCCCTTTTTCTTTAGGTTTATGGGTTTACTCACTCGTATTGTGTACGATTAAGGATTTACTTGGGCGTGTTCAGCATTAGTCTTTTAAGCTGAGGTTTTTTCTACGGTATTTCATTTAGGCCTATTCTTTTGAGTTTCTAGGCAAGTAAGATAGAGTAGAGCACATTTCACCAGCACAGGTGTTAGCAGAGCAAAACAACTTATTTATACTCAGCGGGGCGGAGCAGGTCACAGCAGCTAAAAAGAACACGGTCTTATTTTGATTTCAAATTACTCGTAGTACGGAGTGAATAAGATACGAGGTATGGGGGATTAACGTGTTTGGTATGAGTAATTGTTGAATAAGGTGATTCTAATGATTTTAAAATTAAGATAAAATCGAGAAGATTTGTGTTTATACAAGTTCGAATAAGGTCTTATGAGAGTTAATAACCATTATTCAAGTTCGTTGAAATGTAAATTATAATAAGTTGTGAAAAGGGTTGATAAGTTTAAATAAGTTTATACAATATAAGATACATTTAGATAAGTAAATCCGGTGAATAGAACATACTATAAGGTTTAAATGCGTTTAAGAGGCTATGCCCATGGATGCCAACTAAAAATCTATAATCTATAATAACTATGTATTAAAGGCGAAATAAATAATGACCCATGTCATCTTCTAGTTAAATTTTCCCTCCAAAAGTTCATTTTTATTTTTTATTTTTTGCCAAAATTTCTTAGACAAGTATTTAATACTTACTATATACCAGTAATAATATTTCACTTCCTATTTGGAAAGTATATTCTATTTATACACATTCAACAGAGATATTATTCTTTTATACAATAATATGCAATAATACTTTCTTATCTATAACTTTGTGATGATGTAATCCATAGTTAATTTTATTAGTCGTGCATGTATAATTCCCTCTATTTTCTTTAATGTGATATGATTTTTTTTAATAATCTTGTCAAATTGAGTTGTACATAGTATATTTTACTGAGAGTGAGGGATAGCTCAAGTGGTTAGAGCTTTTCTCCCAGTTCCAGGAGATCGTAGGATTGATTCTCACCCCGCCCTTGTGGCTCTCTAAAAACCAGAACATATCATAATTTACTTAAATAAACAACTCCTTTCCATATAAAATAAACATATATCTAACATTTTTTCATACTTAAAAATAATTTTAATTCAGCAAAAATAAGTTCAGTTCAGTAAAATTAAATTTCAGTTTAGTAAAAATAATTTCAGTTCAGCAAAAATCAGTAGCTCTAAAGAAGAAATATTATAGAGAATCAGTAAAAATAATTTTAGTTTAATAAAAATAATTTAAGTTTAGCAAAAAAGTGAAGTGAACATGTCCTAATACGAGGGATGAGTGATTGATTCTTCATAATTATTTAGTGCTAAAATATTTCTTTTGTTAGTGTTGCACTGGAACACATCAAATGACACAGATTAACTACGATAGTTGTAATAAATTATTTTACTCTATAATTTTGACTTTTTTATGATGGGGATGAGTTTTGACTTTGAAACAAAAATACACTTCCAACTCTATTGTTTTTTCCTCTTCTCTTTTTACCTTTTTTTTTCGAGGGATCTTTTTTTGCCCATTATATTTTAGGATATTGATTTATGTAATCTTACGGTTACAAATAAGGCCTTATTTAGTTCAACTTATTTTTACTCATTTTAGAAAAAATAAGTTCAGATAAGAATAAATAAGTTCAGATCAGATCATCGTTTTATGTGCAATTTTTTATCGCTAAATATCTTTAATTTCGTAATGAAAAAAATTATGAAAATTACATATTAATAAAATACACATTATTACGCATCTAACAAGATCGCACTTGATATATTTTTTCCTTATACATTATCGTACACTTAAGGTCAAAGTTTGGTCAAATCAGACAATAAGATCACATCAGATCAGATTATACCAGACTAGATCAGATCAGTCCAGACTAAACTAGACAGATAAGATCATATCACATTAGACTAAATCAAATAAGTTCAGATAAGCAAAAATAAGGTGAACTAAATAGGATCTAGAACTTAATATAATTTCTAATTTGGTATTAATTTATAAATGTATGATAAAATCACGCCCAAATTAATGTAATTAATGTTATATTTGTACTCCGTATTTCTTATTTGTTTTCCATTTTTAGCTCCTTATACAAATTTTATACGGAGTACAGTTTTGGATTTTTTAATCGGTACTTTGTTTAAAGATAACCTGAATTATGCATTTTGAGATGATAGTCCAAATTTAATAATTTTTGTACCTCGTACGAAGTATAAAAAGGATTCAGTATAGCCTTTTATTGCAATTTTTCCCTTTTTTTATGTCCTTGCACTATCAAATTTATCATTTTATTATCATTTTTCAGCCCCAGCAAAGATGGAAATTAATATCTCATTTATTACATAGTGATATAGTGCTTTTAGCTTATTTTTTAAAGAAATTTGATCGAGTATGACACTCGATTATGACCGATGAGTGTGTGATAATGGACGATGTTCATGGCAATATGGCATTCTTAGCAACGGTTTGACAGTTCGGTTTGAAACGGATTGGTTTGAAATCGGTTTAGTTGATCAGCGAGTTGGTTTTGGTTCGATTCAGATTATTATCGGGTTAGAGGGAGTAATTGACAACGAATTTAATCGATCTCTTTCTATGCTTGAGATTTTCTTATTCATGTCACAAAGAAAGCTCATATATACTAAGGACATGCATGGTTTATTTTTATTTGGAAAATGTTCAAATAACTCAGCGATTTATATTTATTTAGTGTATGGTGCTATCGTTAAAAAAAAAAACTTGTTATGCTTTTGTGCTGCTCTAATGCAAAAGCTAGGTTGCAATTTAGATATAGTAATAAATTAAAATTATGCTTTAGCAAACATTGGTAACAAATATTTGTATAAGAATTTGATCTCACAACTTTATACTTGTACTTTAATAGACAAAAAACCTTACGACTTACAAAACACCACTTAATTCAAAGTATATACAACAATATGATATTGTGTTTAATCGAAGTATCAAAGAATGTATAGTACTATGTAACAAGATATCGTATTAATTTATACTCCCTCTGTTTCACAAATATTGCAACAAGGATGAAATTACGCACCCCAAAACACATTTTATATGCTAAATATTTATAATTATATAAAAGTAAAAATTATAAAAAAATTGATATTGTGAAAGTAATTTACGAGACGAATCTAACAAGACCTCACATGACTATATTTTACTCTACTTTTAAATTATAATATGTGGTCAAACAAGTGTGATGAATAGTGTGAAAGTCATGTTGTTGCAATATTATTGAAACGGAGAAAGTATTATTGAAATATCTGCTCATAACTTTCTAGATCTTGGAAAATAAGAGGAAGATAAATAATTAGAATGTAGGGTCAAGAAATTAGGCAGTGATAGTTGAGGTTGAAAGAAGATAAGAGAGCGATTGTATTGAATATTGACTAGAAATTGAAAATAAGGACTTAGACTTACAGAGAGAAAAAGGAAAAATGAGTAGGTGTAATTAATTTTATTAAATTATATAAACATGAATAATTAAGGTGGTGGACATGGTGGGCTAACCTCTAATTTCAAGAAACAAGCAATATACTGAGTATCTCATCTAGTAAAAAAAATTAAATGAAAATGTTGCTAATAATCCATACTTAAGTTATACCATCTATCATCTATTATCTATCCATCAATCCATGTGCCCCCACTTCAAAATGGGACGTTGTGACATCAAAACTATACTTGTATATTATACTATCAAAGAAAAATGATGTCCTACCCACATTTGGTTGGTTATTATGCTTCAAATTATTGACCCCAATACCCCATGTCTCTATTTATGGATGTTTCTTAGTGGGTGTGCTATCTCACTTCTACATTACTCTCTATAAATAAGATGTGGATCGGAAGTCAAAAAGTCTTCTGTACTATGTCCGTGATCATAATAAATTATTAGTGATAAAAAAAAAGGCCCAACCCTAATTGGCTTGAAATAACCCGTATTTAATATTTTTAAGCTAATTTTTTCTCTAGTCCAAAACCTGACTAAATTATAAAAAAAACCCTTCCAAACCCGACTTAAAAAAAAAACTTGGCTGAATTTGACTCGATTCACCCCTTGAACAACTCTCTTAATACATACTACCTCCGTTTCTTATTATTTGCAACAAAAGGGTAGTATATTGATACACAAAAAGAGGTAACAACATATTTAGAATAGTGGAAAAACAGCAAGTTTAAGGGGTTTATGGTTTCTGCGTAGAGTTGGTTGTCTATCTTGCTTAAAAAATAATGCTTTGTTTGGAATAAAGAGGAAGGCCAACGTAAAAGTAGGGAGCACAATATAATATAACAAATAAGTATGAACAAATTCACAAGGTGTAGGCTACGGACTTAGAATATAATCCAATCAAATGATGCCTTTTAAGATCAAATTTGACAATAAAATCTTTAGGAAATTATGCCTTTCAAGTTTAGTTAATTATTACTAGTATAATTGTGCTTGTGCTGTATCTATGTTCATATGCATACCTTTCTCTAGAAGGTTAAGGAAGAGTTTAAGTTTGATTATATATTGTACGGAATTGATAGTGTGAAATAAATCATCGGAATATATAAGCTCTTAGAATTTTCTAATATATCATGGGAAAAAGAAAATCACTAATAATAAGGTATAAGGTATCTTCAATGATTATGAATATTGTAAAACACAGACTTATACACAAATTAGATGAAACCTGATGCACAGTTTATTTATATTTTTTCAAATAATATATTTTACTAAATATATATTTACAAAAAACGCGCTAATTTTATTTTTATAATTAATATAAATTTTTTTATCTAAAATAATTGTAATTTTTTTTTTCAGTGGCTTAAATATAACATTTTCCTATGTGACGCTCTAAAACTAATCTTATGTGGCAAAATCCTATTGTAGCGTTTTAAAATTATTAATCCTACGTGGCGTTTTTTTTATATT